CTTTTTCGGGAGAAAGTCGGTACTGTAGGCGTCGTTTGAAGTGCGCCTACGTTAAAGCATGTGGTGAATATGCTTGGCACTCATAGGAAGTGGGAATTGACGTATACGATTAGGGACAAATAAAGTAGAGAGCCGCCAACAAGTTTTTAAGGAATTTGTAAACCATTCACGGATCATAAAAGGCAACCACCATTAAGGGACAACAAAAGGTAACAACGATTAACCCGTGAAGGTTACACCCCTTTCATAATCCATGAGATTACTAACTCCATATGGTTCAGAACCATGAAAGGAGGATCGGGGATGATGGTATGAAGTGAGTGAGGAGTCACATTCGCCCGTATTGGCCTCTACTCGATTCGTATAGTGAAAAGTGATTCTTGCGATCTCAAAGGCATACAAAAAAAATATTCAATTTGCTCCAAACTATTATTAAGCTAAATTGGTTAAATATTAATGCAACACATTATTCTAAAGTATTAGTATTCACTTCGATTAATAACAACATAAAAAAGGAACCTAAATCGGTTGTCCAAATTGTCTTATTAGGCGTGATTTTCAATTACATATTCCCTTTAACATGCAATATAATGATCAATAAATATAATAAAATTAACATCAATATTGGAAGCAATTTAACAATAAATCCAACAATATAAAATTGTTATAAAAATAATAGAAATAAAAGGAACATAATTCTTACTTTGATTTTGTTTGCTTGCAATAATTCTTACTTTGATTTTGTTTGCTTGCAACTATAAAATAATAAACGAGTTAGTAACTTCAAGGAAAATTAATAAAACAATAATTAAATTAAATGAAATTAAATTGAGTTGATTTGGGGCCCAACCCTCAAACAGTTCTACCTTTCACGCCTTGGTTTAAGGAGAAAACCTCGAGTAAAGTATGGAATCCTTGGAGTGCTTAAAGAGGGAATTTTGAAAGAAGAAGGGTAGGCTAATGTTTAGGCCAGAGCGTAGAAGAGAGAAAAAGAGAGTTAATTGATGCCCCGTACATCATAAATGAGGGGGTATTTATAGGGAAAATGAGTAGAGGGAACACACAGAACCTTAAAAAGATAAAAACCTTAAAAATAATGTCGCGACACGGCAAAGCATGCCGCGACACGGCAGGGTTTGCCGCGACACGATAGAAAATCCTGGGACTCAGGGGAATATTCTGTGACGCAGGGAATAATTAGGTTACGGGAGATAAAACGCGTGAAGGGTTAACGCGGAAATCACACCGTGGTGCGCCAGTGAGCCCCATGACGCGGAAGACTTTGTGTTCATTTTTCCGTCTAAATACATTTTTGCCCTAATTTTGTTCAGCGTTTTTAAGTGTCGATTGATAATTTCAGGTCATTTCTGATTTATTATTTATTAATTTAGCCAAAATAATAAATAAAATAAAATGTTTGGGCCAAAATTAAAAATAAACTATGCTTTGACTAAACATAAAGACTAATCCATGGACTATTAAAAACTGCATTTAATTAAATACGATTTTTTTAACCACTCTCGGGATTAAATATTGAACCCGACCAATAATGGCGGTGAAAGATTGTTCATCATCGGGTTTGGTTTCGGGGAGACATTTTTAGGTGTCTACACCAATCTCCTTTTTTTCTACTAGTGGCTTAGTTTCATGATTAAGGTTGGTTTTGGGGGTGTTTTGTGTGAATGGTACTCCTATTGGAGTTTTTGTGTTTATGATTTTATTTAAGCATGTTAACTCTAGAAATTTAAGTCCAAAATGGTTATATATGGTGCTTATTGAGTATATGTATGTGCCCTAATTTTTATTTTGCATTTGAAGTATGTTTGATTGGGTTTTTATGATGATTTTTGGACTCGTATCTTGCTTCCCTGTCTTGGTTGTTTTATGAAATTGTAGTTTGGATTTTTGATTTTATCAAATGAATTTATGGAATTTTTATAACTATTATATATTAGCTGAAATTGTAATTTTAATTAAGTGATGTGGGAATATTTGGGTATTATAAACCCCTACAAAAAAATATTTTGATGTGTGTTTGAATAAGTGTGAGTTGTAATTATATTGTCGACGTCGTAATGCTGTAGAGAAGAATAACACTGTCTTTACCATTACTTCGCCAAGAGTTGGGAATGGACTTAATAGTTGTATTCTGAAAATTAATTATATTCCCAAACTCAGACGATACCTTTTGTGATTTATTATGTTGAAGTGTGTTTTGAAACGGGGTTTCAATTGAATTTAAGAAATATGATTTTCTTATGCAGTTTGAATTGATTTTTGAATTGTGTGTGGGGCCATAGTCAGGTGTGAGGCCGAGTTGCTTCCCGATGGTTAATAAACATGCTAACTACCTGGATTGCGAGCCTTAGGTAGCTCAACCTGGGTTAATTATTGTCGTCCAGGGGTGTGTAAGACCTTATAGGCATCTACCCATAACCGGGAGTTGGTCAATCTTAGACAAAGTGTCTGCAAGATGACCGGGGGTTCGTCCTAACAAACCTTAGGAAGTGGATTTCGATGCCACTAGCGTTCCCTCCATGCAGTTCTGATGTTTTGAATGTTTTGAATTTGAAATATTGAAACTTTGAAATTATTACTTATTTTGAAGCTTACATAAATTATGAATGAAATTAAGTGTTTTAATGTCAAATTCTTATCTTAAGTTTATTGCGAAATATTTTATAGTTTTATGGTTTGATGGTTTTAAGTGATTTCATTTGTGTTTACAAGTTGTTTGTGATTGTGGTTTCTTTCTATTAATTTAAGTCTAAAATCTTTTATTTCTGATTTGAGGGAGAACTGCTAGTTGCTCACCACTAATTGTGGAACATTGTTATTATTTGCATGTTCTATTTATTTATTTGATCTATATGATGATGGTTTAGGAATTGAGAGTTTAGAAACTAACCTTTGGACTTGTGTGCCTTTGTTGTTAGTTGATTGTTTAAGTACTTTGAAATCGGTTTTAATTTGATGGATTTCAATTTGGCCGATAAGGGTTGTTCTGCCCTTAGCTTTTAAATGTAATTGATTTGTCTATGTTTATGTTCTTTTGTTTATTTCGATTTCATCACTTAGTTCGCGCTTAAGTTGAATAACTTAATTTGGATGTTTGAATGACTTAAATTCAGCTTTTAATTTAGACCTAGGTAAAGTTTGACTTTGCCAATCGAAGTTAAGTAGCCTCTCGTTCAAGCGTATTTCCGCTAACGCTTCCAGTTCTAAAAGGACGGAGTGTTATAACACGCCTATGCCTTTTAATTTATTTTTAGATTTCTTTTATCAATATTTATGTGTCACATGATTTGTAAGAGATAACACTAAAACCTTACGCGTCACCTATTAATTTGAGGTGACTCCAAAAGGGCGACTCCGTAGGGTGTTTTTGTAGTAGTGGGTGTTACAATTTATGTAATGCACTAGGGAACACGAAGTAGCTAGAGTTTGATTTGAAGAACGAGACAAACTCTTAGCAAAACCGTTGTGTAACAAAATCCCGAAGTAAAACTAAAGGATATTTTTCTCGAAAACCACGGCTCATCTCATCATTATTACGCGAACCCCGGCTGGAATTGTGTCATTGTATAGGCTCGGACACAGGTGGTTGTGGAACTGCGAGTTGCTCGATGTGTTGCAGCTGGGCAGTAGCAGCCTCATCATGCTGCTGTGTAGAGTGCCTAACATGGGCAGGTTGGGGCTGGCAACAGCAGCAGCCTCATCGTGATGTTGTGCCGTGACCTGCTATTGTGCGGTCTGCCTAGCAAGGGCAGTGTACTCCACAGCCTCCTTGCAGGAATAATCTCTTTGTCGCAGAGTGCCTGTGGAATGGACTTTTTCCGTATCTACTTGAGGTGAATCATTTCCTTCCCTATTAATTATTTCATGCTCAATTTCAGCATTATAAGCAATCAAATCATCATCACTCACAATATAACCAACAAAATCAACATAAACACCATCTCTCGTCTCACCAAAATTTAGATCAACATTATTAGCTTCTGGACAACAAAAATGAAACACATATTCCACAAATTTCACATCATAAGAGATAAAAAATTCCTTTGTTTCAAGATCAAACAACATCCACCTTGTTTTACCAAATGGATACCCCATAAAGACACATTTACGAGTATTACGACTCTTACTAGCAAACTTATCCCCCCTCTTTTGATTATGTGCGAAACACAAACAACCAAAAGTACAAATATTGTTGGAAATGGTAATGCAACCGGATTCTCGTGCCCGATCAGGCGGTGGTTCGCCCGACAGGGCGGAGTTGGCTAAGGAAAATAGGAGGGCTCTCGCGCCCGATCGGGCGGCTCTCGCCTGACCGGGCGACGGAGTTGAGTTTTGACAAGCCCGATCGGCCTGCTCTCGCCCGATTGCTCGCCCAAGGTGGGTTTTCTAGATCTCCTGACCGGGCGGTGGTTCGCCCGACCGGGCTTGACACCAGGTCTAGAAAACTTTATCTCGCGCCCGATCGGGCGGCTGTTTGCCCGATCGGACCCGCCTTTTTTCCTAGGTCGATTTAATTTTTTTTGTCTCCGATATTTGGGACTCATATAAATATGAGCATTGCCTCTCTATCTCTATTCATTCACTTTCAAACCGAAAACACAATCCTACCCTTTGAGATCTGAACAGGTCTTGAGCGATTCCACTCTTCGAGTTTGGGTGCACGAATTACGGAGAGACTTGTGTTAAACTTGGGGGGCGTGCATCACTAGGAAACTTGTACCAGTGGTGGCGTATTTTGCTTCTAAGGCAGTGGATTATTGTTCCACGGCGCGACTGTGAGTTTGGGATCTTCAATCTAGGAAAATTCTAAATTTTTTGTTTGTTATTGATTTCTACAGTTATTTTACCAACAATTTAGAAGCGAAATAATTTTTATTTATTCTATTGATATCATGACTAGCAATTCTCACACTCGTTTATACCTAGATCTGTCTAAGGTTGAATCTCTTAATGGAATTAATTATAAGAGATGGTCATAAAGGATGTTGATTGCTTTTGAACAAGTAGAGGTTGATTATGTTTTGTTTAGGGATGCCCCAAAACCTATTAAACAAACCAATGCTATGATTGAAATTCCTAGTACTCCTATTCCAGGGAATAAAGAATCCGGTACTAGTCCAAGGACCACTACTGTCATTGTTAATGAATCTGAAATCAGGAAATTTGATCATGATAATAAGTTTGTTAGAGGTCATCTTTTGAACAGCATGAAAAACAAAATATTTGATTTGTATGTTAATATGAAATCTTCAAAGGAGATGTGGGAATCTTTAGAAAAGAAATATGGTGCTGATGATGCTGGAAAAAAGAAGTATGTGACTGGAAATTGGTTGAACTTCAAATTGGTTGATACAAAGCCTATCATGGACCAGGTCCATGTGTATGAAAATTATGTTGCTGAGATTCTTGCTCAAGGTATGAAGATGTGTGAAATCCTTCAGGCCAATGTTTTAATTGAAAAATTACCAGATTCCTGGTCTGATTATCAAAATCACCTCAAGCATAAAAAGAGGGATTTAACCCTAGAAGAACTTGTGAGCCACATGAAGATTGAGGAAGCCAATAGGCTTAAGGATGTTTCCTATAAGCCAAAGAATGTGTTATCAATCAAATATAACCTTGTTGAATCTAGTGCTGACTCTGACAAGAAATCAGGTGACAATCATGCCAAGAAGGGGAACTCTGAGAAGAAGGGAAATCTCTAAGCTAAGGGCAGGATTGGGAAGAAGAACACTGTCAAGTGTTGGTCATGTGGTGAAGTGGGGCACTTTGCTTCACTGTGCAAAAATAAAAAGAAGAAAAATCTGAAATCGAGTGGAGGGAACAAGGGTCAGGCTCATCTGGCTGAGAATGAGGATGAAGATGTCATCACTGAAGTTGTCTCTGAAGTCAACTTGGTTGAGAACAACACTGAATGGATTGTAGACACTGGTGCATCTAGACACTTCTGTGCTAACAAGGACCTGTTTGTCGGTATGGAAGAGGCAAAGGAAGATAAACAAGTCTACATGGGAAATTCAAGCAGCTCTGAGGTACTTGGGAAGGGCAAAGTGGTTTTGAAGCTGACTTCAGGGAAGACCTTGGCTCTACATAATGTGTTGTATGTTCCTTCTCTTCATAAAAAAATTTAATTTCTGGTGCTTTATTGAACAAAGTAGGAGTTAAGTTAGTTTTTGATGCTAATAAACTTGTGTTAACCCGTAATGGGGAGTATGTTGGAAAAAGGTTACCTTAGTGGGGGCCTATTTGTTCTTGAGATTGTAAATATTTCTTCAATGAATAAGATTTCTACTTCTGCTTATATTGTTGAGTCCTTTGAATTATGGAATAATAGATTGGGTCATGTTGGTGCAACAAAATTGAAACAAATGAAGAGTTTAAATTTGCTCCCAAACATGTCATTAGATGGACTTGAAAAATGTGAAGTGTGTGCGGAGTCTAAATTTGTGAAGAAACCTTACAATTCTGTCACAAAGAGAGAGACCATACCACTTGAGCTAATTCATTCAAATTTAGCAGACTTTAAGAACTTGGAAAGTAGAGGCGGGAAACGCTACTACATCACTTTTGTTGATGATTGTTCGAGATATAGCAAGGTGTATCTTTTGAGGACAAAGGATGAAGCTGAGTCCAAGTTTCTTGTGTATAAGGCAGAAGTAGAAAATCAGTTGGAGCGGAAAATAAAGAGAGTTCTCTCAGATAGGGGTGGAGAGTATGGCTCCGATTTCCTCAAAGATCTATGTGAAAGTGAGGGAATCATTCATGAAGTATCTGCCCCGTATACTCCACAGCAAAATGGTGTGGCAGAAAGGAGTAATGGGACCTTGAAGGAAATGATGAATGCAATGCTTCTAAGTTTCGGGTTGCCAGACAATTTGTGGGGTGAAGCGGTTCTATCAGCAAATTATGTATAGAACAGAGTAGCTCACAAGAAGTTAGACAAGACTCCATATGAAATATGGAAGGGTTATGCTCCAAACTTAAATCACATGAAAGTGTGGGGGTGTCTAGCTAAGGTGGGGTATCCATCGTTCAAGCGCTCTACTATAGGTTCTAGGACCTATGATACAGTGTTCATTGGTTATGCTAAGAATAGTTCCGCATACATGTTTATGAGTCTGGAAGATCGCTCTATATTTGAATCCCGTGATGCAGAGTTCTTTGAACTGGTATTTTCGTTGAAGAAAAGCTTAGTTACTAACGATGTTTCTTCAATTTCTTCATCTGTAGAGCCAGAAGATGCTTCCCCTAGAATTGAAAGTGAGATTCAACCTAGGAGAAGTAAAAGGCAGAGAGTGGAGACAAGCTTTGGGTCGGATTTCCTAACAGCCTTTATAGCAGAGTGTGGAAATCTGGGTGAATTCGAGGATGATCTAGATGAGGTCATGCTGTGTCTACAGGTTGTGGATGAAGATCCAAAATCGTTCAAAGAAGCTATGAGTTTAGTAGATGCAACCTTCTTGAAGGAAGCTGTGAACAGTGAGCTTGATTCAATCATGTCTAATGGGACCTGGGAGCTTGTGGACTTGCTAAAAGGGAGTAGGGCTATTGGGTGCAAGTGGATTTTCAAGAGAAAAATGAGAACCGACAACACTGTGGAAAGGTTCAAAGCTAGATTGGTGATAAGAGGATTCACTCAAAAATTTGGCCTTGATTATTTTTATACTTATTCTCCTATGACTAAAATTGCAACTATTCGTGTTTTGTTTGCCTTAGCTTCATATTACAAATTGATTGTGCATCAGATGGATTTTAAGACAGCTTTTCTGAATGGCGATTTGGAGGAGGAGATCTACATGGAGCAACCTTCGGGTTTTGTAGTTCCTGGCATGGAGAATAAGGTGTGCATACTAAATAAATCCTTATATGGTTTGAAACAAGCTCCGAAGCAATGGTATGAAAAATTTCATAAAACTATTCTTAGTTTTGGTTTTGTCGTCAATGGTAGTGATGCATGTGTGTACTCTAAGATGTTTGGTGCGCGATATGTGATATTATGCCTGTATGTTGACGACATGCTCCTGTTTGGTACAAATATGTATGTCATAAATGAAACTAAGAAATATTTGAATTCAAAGTTTGAGATGAAGGATTTGGGAGTGGTAGATGTGATTCTAGGTGTTAAAGTTACTAAAACCAAGAAAGGGTATTTTCTGTCTCAGTCTCATTATGTGGAGAAAATTCTGAAGAACGTTAATTATTTTGATTTGCCTTCATTGAGAATGCCCTTTGACCCTTCTGGAACTTTAGTGAAAAATGTGGGAGATAGCAAACTGAATATGCTAAGGTGCTTGGTAGTATGATGTTTTTAATGAACTGCACTCGCCCTGATATTACTTTCGCAGTTAGTAGACTTAGTCGGTATACTCATTGTCCTAGTGAGCAACATTGGGTTGCTTTGAGGCGTGTGCTTAGATATCTGTGTGGAACCATGACTTGGGGATTGAATTTTGTTGGTTATCCTTTGGTTCTGTGTCGATGCGTTGTGATTTACAAGCTGCTATATGTGTTGCTAAAAACAACGTTTACAATGGTAAGAACAGACACATAAGAGTCAAACACGAGTCTGTGAGGCAGTTTATTGTGAATGGGGTTATTTCGTTGGACTATGTTCGGACAAATGTTTGGACAGAGAAGAACCTGGCAGATCCCTTTACTAAGGGATTAAGTCGTAGACTGGTGGTGGAGTCATCAACTGGTATGGGTTTAGGATCTATGTTGTAATGACTTGAAGTTGTAGCTATTCAAGCTATGTGACATGATACTTTGGTTTTAATAAATCTGAAACCTGTTTTGGTTTATTTGTTTCATTGGCATGAATCATTGGATTTGTTAGTTATGTATCATGTGTTTGAATCTATTACTCTATAAGAGTGGTAAGTTTTACCAGTTAGATTATGCTAGGATGATCCTGTCTCTTAATGTCATTAGTCAAGTTGTTTTCTAAGCAAGGATTGATGGAGGTTCTTAAGTGAGTTAAGACCTTTATCCCAGTGGCTCTTGAAACAGGATTGATAATGACACCGAAAGTTAAGGGTTGAACTTATGTTCTTAATGTTCTAATTCCATTGCATGTAATTCTCTGGTTTGCAAGGTGCTTAAATGTGTTTAAGCCTGCAGGGAAAGACCTTTGAATTTGCTGGGAATGTGTGTGTATAACACATAGGTTGAACACCTACGTGAGTACAAGGGGTGGCCTCCTTCAAGGGAAAACTGGAGTATAGTTTTCCTGAAGTACTCATGAGAGCCCAAGTGTTGGCCAAGATTGGCGGAGTTTCTTAAGCTCTATAGTCAAGGTATGTGTATTCAAGGTCCCTTCCTCGCTCCTAGGAGATCAAATATTAGGATACTCACTAGGAAAGTGTTGAAAACCTTGTGCACTAATGTGTTAGTTCAAACCTTTGGATACTAGCATTTAAGTACTAAGACTTTCATTTACTTTTCAGATTTCATGTCGAAGATCCGCTCGCATTAGTGGGGGATTGTTGGAAATGGTAATGCAAACGGATTCTCGCGCCCGAACGGGCGGTGGTTCGCCCGACCGGGTGGAGTTGGCTAAGGAAAATAGGAGGGCTCTCGCCCGATCGGGCGGCTCTCGTCCGATTGCTCGCCCGAGGTGGGTTTTCTAGATTGCCTGACCGGGCGGTATTTCGCCCCACCGGGCGCGACACCAGGTCTGGAAAACTTTATCTCGCGCTCGATCGAGCGGTTGTTTGCCCGATCAGGCCCGCCTTTTTTCCTAGGTCGGTTTATTTTATTTATCTCCGATTTTCAAGACTCATATAAATATGAGCATTGCCTCTCTATCTTGATTCATTCACTTTCAAACCAAAAACACAATCCTACCCTTTGAGATCTAAACAGGTCTTGAGCAATTCCACTCTTCGGGTTTGGGTGCACAGATTACGGAGAGAGTTGCGTTAAACTTGGGGGGTGTGCGTCCCTAGGAAACTTGTACCGGTAGTGGCGTATTTCGCTTCTAAGGCAGTGGATTATTGTTCCACGGCGCGACTGTGAGTTTGGGATCTTCAAATCTAGGAATTTTCTAATTCTTTTGTTTGTTATTGATTCAACGGTTATTTTACTAACAGATATCACTAAAAGAAGGAAGTTTATTGAAGAGAATTTCAAAGTTCGAACGGTGTTTTATTTTGGAGAAGAGGAGTAGGAGTTCGGTTAATCAAATTGTAATTCCTCGTACTTTTAAATATTTTATAAATGAAAATGTATTTTATTTATAATATTTAATTGTACTTTTCCGGAATTTAATTTCAAAAACATCAAATTATTATTTTAGGTCGAAAATAATTTTAGCAAAAACTATTTTATGAACCTATATTCTACAATTCATGATCATACAAACAAAGCCTACCATTTCATTACCTTATTGGCCCATTAATTTTATGAGGCTCAATCTTCTTACTTACCCTACAATATTCTCTCCAATAAATACTCCATTAATCCCCAAAATTTCCCCCACACAAAAGGTTAGTATTATTTTCTTTCTCCTTTATTTTATTTCTTTTATTTTATTTATTTCTTTTATTTATTTTATTTCTTCTTTTTCTTTTTTTTTTTCTTCTTTTTCTTTTTTTTTTCTTTATTTTTCTTTCTTTCCTTTTTCCTCCTTCCTACGTGAGCCAAGCTCACTGCCGCCCAGCCACCTCCGGCTCACCACCTACCGCTGCTGCCTCTAGACCGCTGGCGACCTTGCCGACCCACCAGGCCCAGCCAAGGCCCACCGTGGCTGCCCCCTCTTCTTCCTCCTCCTTTGTTTTCTTTTATTTTGCTTAATATTTAATCTAATTGTTTTGGGTTTTGGTTTTAATTGTTTTAAATTGATTAAATTAGTATGAAAATCTATATTTTGATAGTATAAAGATTATAATTTCATATTTATAATTGTTGTTGTTAATTTTTCATATTTTATAAATATAAACCTAGGGTTTTTATTTTTTAATTTGGGATTTTAGGGTTCTTATGATCAATTAATTTGGGGCTTATGTTCCTATTCAATTTCTGTTGATTAATTAAGCATAAAAAACATGTTTTAAAGGAAGTTTTAAGGAGTTTTAATCAAATTTATATTGCTGGAATTTTATTTAAAGAAATAGTGTTGTGATTTTAATGAAAAGGGGTTTGATTACCCATTAAAAAAGAGATTAATTAAGGGTTTTAAAATAATTTTCAGGTTTTTATAAAGTATTAAACTTGCTGTAATTCCATGAAAAAAGTGTATTTTAAGGTTTTTCATGAAGGAAAATTTAAGAACTATATATGAACTTTTGATTTTAATTAAAGGGAAGGTTTAATGTTGTTTATTAATTGGATTTTAAAGGTCTTAAAGTAAGTTAATATTGTTGTAAATTTGATTGTTTGGGTATTGATTGAAGTTTTATTGTTTGGTTTAGGAGAGGAGTTTATAGAAGGTGACTTCTAGTATGTAAAGTGGCATATCAATTCGTTTACTCAAGGTGCGTACGAGTTACAAAACCTTGCCTTTAGAAGCATGTATAGGGATGTTGTATCGAGAACTTAGTATCATATATAGAGAAGATCAGGCAAAATTGTTTGGTTATACATTGTGATTTATGTATGTTGTGCACTATTTTACTTTGCAAGTATTATTTATGCATTAATTTTGCAAGATGCACTTAGAGGCAAAGGTATGTGATTTAGTGGAATGATTTATTTATTACTCGTTCATGATTATTGAAATAGAATGAGAAAAGGAAGAATTTAAGTCTTATAAGATGAGGTTAAGGCCGGTTTTGGGGTGCCTTATGCACTCAAGGTGTTTATACACCGAGGTAGTTAAAGGAATCAATCATAAACATTGCTTGTGACTAATAAATCAAGAATTGAATTGGAAATTCAGTGTACTTGATTGAATGGATATTGGATTGACTGTATTGTTTGCATGTGAGTCATTACCAAGTCTAAATTTGTAAATCACATAAAGTGCAAGATGGATGAGCAATAAAACTCTAGATTGGTGCACATAGGGAGTAATGAAAATTAGAGGTTGGGGTACACGGGGTATTAGCCGTGAACTTTTCTCAAGGTCGTCTGATCTACGAGTCTCTTATTTCAAATACTTTTCAAAAACTAGGAGTTAGATGAGATTTCATACTAGCTACGATCACGGAGTCGCGCCTGTTGTCATTGGATGTTTTTTTGAGGTTTCCGAAAGGAGGCATGGGGTTTTATTTTATTGATGTTCCAAATGGAGCAAGGGTTGGACAACCTTGTCTATTGCTTAATCCAATGAATAAAAATGATGAGTTAACTACTTTTAGCTAGTGGAGTCTTAGTAAATTGATAGTTGAGTCATGTGTGGAGTCTACAAAGTAATGATGTGTGATGATTGAGTATAAGTAGCATGCTAGGGATTTCTTATTATGTTTCGCAACTTGTACGTACTCAGCTTTGCTGATTGCGTGCTTTGTGTCTGTCTTTCTTTGATCATGGCCTTCGCCTTTCAATGACCCTGTGACGATCCAATTTTTAATTTACACTTGTAATATTGGGGAGCAGATTAACCACAGGTTCTTACACATGCATCATCCGTATCTAGGTGGTGGGATCTTGAGTGGAGTGTTGGTTGCTTTTGTTATTTTTATTGTTATTTACTTTTGAAGTTACCTAAACTCAATTTTTCTTTCATACTACTTCTATTGGTTTGAGTTTTGAATAAGGGCCTTAATGGTTCCAAGTTGTATGATTTAATTTGGTTTTGGTTATTGGTTTTGAAACTTATTTATAACTGATTTAGTTTTTTCGCTGCTAATTTCTGATATAGCCTTAACGTTTGAACATGTGGCGGTAGCACGCCAGTAATTCTCTTGAATATTGTTCAGGTTACTCACAGGTTTTAAGAGAGAATTATTGGGGTGTTACACAAATGAGCTGCAGCTAAAACATACTCCCCCTCAAAAATAAATTGGTAGTCGTGCTTGAAATCTCAAGGCTCTCCCAACATTAAGAATATGTTTGTGTTTTCTCTCTACTCTCCCATTTTGTTGAGGGGTTCCAACACACGAGGTTTGAAAAAATAATTCTAGTGGTGACAAAGTAATCATGTAAACAATTAAATTCGGTTCCATTGTTACTTTGCACAATATTAATTGCTTGATTAAAATGTTTATCAACCATAGCAACAAACGCCATAAACATCCGAAAAACCTCACTTTTATCAAGCATAAATCCAAACAGCTCGAGAATAATAATCAACAATAGTTAAAAAAATAACGAGCCCTACATGGATGAAACATGTCGATATGGAACCCATAAATCACAACGAATTTTTTAAAAATTTTAGAAGCTTTATTATCACTAAGAGGAAATTTGCCTCTAGGATGTTGAGCACAAAAACAAACTTCACATCGTTTTGCTAAACTTCTTTTATTATTGCTAATATGAGGAAACATTTTAACTACCTTCTCCGAGGGATGCCCTATTCTTCTATGCTAAAGATCCAAATCAGATGACGCTTCTATCACATACACACGTTGCACCACATCCGGTTTGCTAAGACAATAGAGTCTGTCGCATCGAAGTCTCGTTCCAATCAACTCCTTCATTAGGTCCTGTATGGCACATATATGTGAGTTAAATTGTATAACAACTTTTAAATGATCACTGAGTTGAGAGACGGAAATTAAATTGCAATTCAAATTTGGGACATAAAGAAGGCCACGGATAGTAATTTTATTGAACAAGTAAACCGAGCCGGCCAAAGTTGCGAGCACATTGCACCATTGGGAAAGCCAACAAGACATTAATGGAGTAAGTGTCAAAAAACCAAGATATATTTCCGGATACATGGTGAGTAGTTCCGGTATTGATAATCCAACAAGTACATCAAAGTCACCATTTAGCCGATTTTTGAGAACTTTTTGTATTACCCATAAAACCGGCCAAATCCATCTTACATGGAGGTTGATGTTCGTGTTTTTCTGGTGGCAATGGTGATGGTGTATTATCACCGGCCATGGTTGTTTATTGAGGAAAAAAAAACAACATGCTCTTGAAACCATGAAAAATTCTATAGAAAATATAATAGAATGACTTGAGTTTTCATTGATCGTAATGTCAAATATATAATAGTCACACCTCCTAACAATAAAATCAAATGATATGCTAGAATCCTAGGTAGTTAACTAAAATATAATAGATAATGTTTGCCAAAAAATATCCTCACAAAAATACATACGACATCTCATTAGAAAATTACAAAATCCCAAAAAAAAGGAAATTTTGATTTTTACCACCTTTAAATAACCACTTAATTGAATTTACCACCTCCAAAAAAAAAAGATTTACTTTACCACCACCAAAATTTCCAAAAAATCGATTTTACCACCAACTACCAGATTCCGTCCATGAATCCGTTAGTAGGGCCCACATTTTTGACGTTTCTTCTTCATCTTCCCCGATCTTCCATGTCAACCAACCAGCAACGAAATCAACTACCTCGGTTGGTCGGAATTTCGTGTGGGTTTCGCGTCTGGGTGGTGGTGGTTTCGAGTCGCGATGGTTTCGCGTCTGGCTGGCGTGGTTTCTGGTGGGTGGTGGTGGTTTTGAGTCGGGGTGGTTTCGCGTCTGGGTGGCGGTTATTTCTGGTCTGGGTTTGGGTGGTGGTGGTTTTGAGTCGGGGTGGTTTCGCGTCTGGGTGGCGGTTGTTTCTGTCTGGGTTTGGATGTTGGTGGGGTTGGTCGTAGCTGTTAGGTGGTGGCTAGGGTTTTGAGGTCAGAAATTGGTGGAAAGGGGTAGAAATCGGTGCGGCTGTGGTGTGCGGTGCGGTGGTAGCGATTAGGTGGTGGGTTAGTCGTAGCTATTAGGTGTTGACTAGGGTTTTGAGGTCGGAAATTGGTGGAAAGGGGGTCGAAATCGGCGCGGCTGTGGTGTGCGGTGCGGTGGTAGCGGTTAGGTGGTGGGGTTGGTCGTAGCTATTAGGTGGTGGCTAGGGTTTTGAGGTCCAAATCGGTGCGGTGGCTGTGGGTCCCGACGGTGGCTGGTAGCGGTTAGGTGGTGGGGGCTGGTTGTAACGGTTAGGTGGTGGGGCTGGTCGTAGCCGGTCCGACGGTGGGGGTCCCGACGGTGGCAGCAACCATCGGTTGCTTGATGGGGATTTTTTATTTTTTATTTTGTTTTATTTATTTATTTTTTTAAAACTTAACCAATAATATGGCGACACGTGTGCAAGGTAGGCCCCGCTAACGGATTTTTGGACGGAATCCGTTAGTTGGAGGTGATTGGTGGTAAAACTGATGTTTAATTTTTTTATGAGGTGGTAAAGTAAATGTTTTTTTTTGGAGGTGGTAAATTCGACAAAGTCGTTATTTGAAGGTGGTAAAAATCAAAATTTCCCAAAAAAAAATGAAAAACCCAACCCCACATCTAAACGACCATAACTGTTATTAGTTGGTTGACGGAGGCAGTGAAGGGGGATTGTTGTTTGGCGGGAAGGAGGGTTGCTCTAGCAGTGGAGGTTGTTGCTTCGATTGGTGTTACTTTGGAGTGGGGTTGGTGAAAGAGGGGTTGGATTGCAAATTGTTATTTTATTTTAACTTTTATTAATTAATTAAAATTGAAAAAAAATTCAATCAAAAGGTGACACGTGGTTAGTAACTTTCTCTAATAGGTTAGTAGGTAACCAATTTAATTATTCGCTTAAAGGCCTATTTTGAGAAGATAGTGTCAAAAGATGAGATTGTTTTTAGATTTTAACAAGCTAAGATTATTTTAAGCAAAATTGACAAAGGTAAGATTATTATTTTATTTTATTTTTTTTTTTTTTTTTTGCAAAGAATCCATGATTCCATGATACTGTTGGACTTTCTTGTTATTAATGTAATCGATTATGCATTCAAAACCAAAAAAACTCAACAAAAATGTCCAACACTCCCAAAAACCCCAACGACCAAGAACACAACAACAACAATCCTACAAATTCCAACCCAAAACCCCCATCAATCTACTACGACATACACATACCATTGCAAGAATCCTCCTCAACCTTCAACCTCCAAAACGCAGTTTGCAGCCATGGCCTCTTCCTCATGGCACCCAACCATTGGGACCCACTTTCTAAATCCCTATTCCGACCCCTCCATCTTTCTCTCTCCTCCTCCGCCGCCGCTGCCTCCGTCCTCATCCGCATATCTTCCGGGCAGTGCCGTGACACGGTCCTCGTCCGCGTCTACGGTGTGCCGTGTCTCTCTCCAAAAGAGAAGGAAGCTGTGGTGTCTCAAGTGCGGAGAATGCTGAGATTGTCGGAGAAAGAAGAGAGGAAAGTGAGGGAATTCAATGAATTGCATTGTGAAGCTAAGATGGTGGGTTTTGGTAGGGTTTTTAGGTCACCCACTTTGTTTGAAGATATGGTTAAGGCAATTCTCTTTTGCAATTGTCAGTATGTTTCTTTTTCTCTTTTAATTTTTACATTTTACATTCATTTTTTTTTTTTTTTTTTTTTTTTTTTTTTTTTTTTTTGTAATTATATTGTATAGTTTTTCTCAGATTGAAAATTGAAATCATAGTGTTAGGAATAGTTGTTCTGGTCTTCAATTCTATATATGAACTATTTTGTAGCTTGTGAAATGGTGTGTGATCATTTGCTATAAACCAACTTCACTAACGGCGTTGTGGCGTTTATTTGAACATCATTTGGATTCCATGTGTGTTTCCTCTGTTTTAAAACTTTTGAACTTGGGTCGGATTTAACAAAAGATGAAAAATTGAAAAGCCACATAATGTGCATTTGGTATAATCATATTCATCATCAACATGCTTTTTCCGTTAGTTTTCTGTTTTACTTTCACTAACATGAGACATACGAAGTATGATATTAACAACAACCTTATGAATCCTTCCATTGTACATTTGTTTTCTTGTTTTGTATTGTTTTTCATTCTTGTTAACATTATTAATGTTACTTGTGTAGCGTAGTTCTCCATATTGAATTTGATTGTATCGATTAAACAAAGAAAATGTGTGACTATCTCTGTTTTTTTGTTTATTATCAAGTTTTTCCATCTGATGCTTAGTGTGCCTAGAACCTTGTGATTTGTCATCTTTTTCAAGTAATCAATCATTTGAGTAGCATTTCGGCTCCATGCTTATTGTAGCCATCTAAGTCTTCAGTGATAGCTTTTTCTAAAGTTCATGCTGATTTGTGCTTTAGAAACATTAAACACACTATCCAACCTTGTATCAGTACTGTCACCCTACAAATTAGCTATTTTGTTTAGATTACACCAAGATATTACATTAATAAGCTAGCCATTTTGTATAGGAAAGATATTATATTATTGGTAATGCTTTGGAGATAGATGTGTCACTACTAGTCTACTACATGGTGAAGTTTTAGATAGTTAGAATTGTGTATTAAATAATTGGCAATATATGAGTTTAAGATTGAAAAGAGAATTATAGCATGTAGCCCTGTAATATTCTTTAGTGCTCTGAGTTTTAGAACCAACTGTGTTGGCTTTAGTGTTGTTTGCCAAAAGTAGCAAGTTCATTTTCAAAGAACAAATTTTCTCTGTTTCCTAAATTATTAGTGGAAATGAGGGCAGCAAATCGGGTAGCCACATGGGAAGGTTGTAGTTAGGGGTGTTGTTATGCCGAGCCGAGACTGAGCCTAGGTGTAGGCTCGGCTTGAGCTAAGCTTCGAGCTTGATTTTTCAGGCTTTTAGGCTCAACAACCTTCCTCGAGACTCCTAAAGGCTCGACTTAGCTCGATTCTATTCCATTCAGCTCAAAGTTCTATCAAGGCTTGTCAAGCTCAACAAATTTTAAATAAGGTTATTTTTTTTTTTTTTTTTTTTTTTTATCATAATACAACTAGACTTAAGCATTTAGTCCATTTAACCAAGGTCCAAGTGGTGCCCTTAGTCATTCACTCTAAGACAATCAAAGTTTCTTTTTATTACTCTCATATTATATCTCACTTGCTTCTATCTTTCAATGAGGACTACTTATTTTCTCTCCTTTTTTTTTTTTTTTTTGGTTTTCCTATATAAACAACCAAAATCATCAACAAAAGCTCCAACACCTAGCAAGAACACTAAAGTTTTGAAGATTAATTTGAGTCCCTAAGTCTTAAAAATGATGAAAAGTTTATGCTAATAATTAATTTATTACAAAAAATAATATTACGTGCTTTGTTTTTTTTTAATATTACACCATATAGTTTGGGCACACTCTTTTTTATAGTGTAAAAAAAAAAAAGAGAGAGGGGTAAAAGTACAAAATTATCCATGTGATGTAAACATAAACTATAGAATCAAGTGTTAAAAGTTAGGCTATATTTGATATTTGAAGTGTGAACACATATATTTTATTTCCTAAAATAGATATGGTGCAATATTTGTGAAACTTCCGTAAAAGGCAAATGGTGTAATAATTGAAAAACGGAGGAAGTATACAAAAATAAAAAACTAGAGCTTGCTCATGAGCTTCGAGCCCAAACCGTGCCCAAGCTCGAGTCGAGCCTATGCAGAGTTTTGATCGAGTCGAGTCTCGAGTAGTTCACGAACATGCATAGGTCGTTAACACCCCCTAGTTGTAGTAGTCTGATTCATTGCACCCATCTAATCGTGCTTAGATGCTTCTAATTATGAGCAAGGTGAAAAGGTAAATTAGAGGGCCAAGAAGTGGGGATATATGTGTTAAGAAATCTCGGTGAGGTTTAGCTAAATTTCAGTGTATGCAGATGTGATTGATTAAATTTTTAAGGTTCATTCCCTAGGAAGTGAACCGAATCAATTTTGATTGCAAGTTCAAATAGGAATTGGGCCAATGATTGGTGATATATGGTCCATTTTCTTGCTAAATGTCTGCAGAGTTACTCCGTCTGTGGCTGAAAATTTGACTCACTTTCCATTATAAGGTGTTTTAAATAGGTTGACTGACTTGACTCAGTGTTGTGTTACTCCATTTTTTGTTAATTGTGGAGTATTTATCTAACTATTGCACTAATGTCAAGGGAATTCCACATAATTGTTTGGACCTTTGGCAAAGTTATAGAATAGTGAAATTTGTGAAAGATGATCGATCATATGAAAATGCATTTAAGTAAAGTGGACCACAAATGGGACAAAGCAAATAAGTATAAAGTGAGTATTATCATTCATTTACAACTAAGTGAACTGACTATTTGCTGTGGCTAACTCGTTATTAATTATGAACTAGCAGAACTGACCCAGCCCATCTATAACCAAGCTTATTTTCTATAAATGATTCTTTTTTTTTTTAATAAACTTTTTAAAAATTGATACTCCATTTTTGCAGGGCATTTACTGTATCTTCTTTTGAGCCGTTATCTGATCATAGGCTTCGTAGCCCCTGTGTTTTGCATAGCTACCGAAAATCAAAGCTCAGTTATGCTGCTACCATGAAACGAAGTACAGTAGCATATTGAGATTTCCTAATAAATACTCCATGCTGATACAGAATGTGACTGACACCTTATCATAGAATTATCTACATTCTGTATTTCTGTTCTCTTGATATCAAATATTAGTTTTACAGATGTCTGGTTGTATATCTTGTTTTTATTGAGAGTTATTTACATTTTACATTAAGCTTCCCTACTCCTTGTAGGTGGCCTAGAACCCTAAGCATGGCTAAAGCTCTTTGCGATCTTCAGCTGGAACTGCAGCGTTGTTCATCCACAGTATCTGTGAATTCTCTTGGTAATACAAAATCAGAAGTTGCTACAAACAGGCCTGAAAGCTTTGCTCCAGGAACACCAGCAGTAAAAGAGTCAGTGAGAAAGCGCAAAATGAATGAAATTGTAAGCAAGGAAAATGCAGGTGTTGTGTATGATTCCAATGATTCTGTAATTGCAAAGGTAAATGCTGCCCATATAGCAAATGGGATTCAGGTTGAGGGAAATGTGGTAACAACTCTTGGCTCATCAACTAGAGATGAAATTTCTGAGTCGTCTACTCTTGGTCTTGGTCTTATTGAAAGTTCTGGAGTTGCTTCTAAAGAAATAGTGATGTCCATAGGAAACTTTCCTAGCCCAATAGAATTAGCTTGCTTAGATGAGAAGTATCTAGCGAAGCGTTGTGGTCTCGGGTACAGAGCTGGTCGTGTATCAAAACTTGCACAGGGTGTTATTGAGGGAAGGATCCAACTTGACCAACTTGAAGAGCTCTGTGAGGAGGCTAGCCTGAACAACTACAGTAAAGTGGATGAGAAGCTGAAAGAGATTGAGGGTTATGGTCCATTCACACGTGCGAATGTGCTGATGTGCTTAGGGTTTTATAATGTTGTACCAAGTGATTCTGAAACTATTAGGCATCTGAAACAGGCACAGCTCCTTTAGCTTCTACTCACCTATTCCTGCTGTTGATTTACAGGTATCTATTAATCTCAACTTTTTCTTTACTGCAGGTTCATGGGAAAACCACCACTGTCAAGAACATTCAAAAAGTTGTTGAAGAGATGTATAGAAGATACGAGCCATATCAATTCTTAGCATACTGGTACTCATTCTTTTTCCCAATCGAGGGATTTTAGTTTTCTTATTCCCAAGCGGGTGTTCAAAGACACTGATTGGAATTGTTTCTTTCGTGTGCTGCTGTTATCAGGTGGGAAATTTGGAATTTCTATGAGCTACACTTTGGTAAATTCAGTGAAATGCCATCCTCTGACTACAAGCTTATAACAGCAAGTAACATGAAGATTAAGAAAACAAAGCAAAGAGCTGCGTGATATCTTTTGATTAGGAATAGTTTCTGATAGTGACTATTTTAGGATAAGAAAATTCTAACCTGTAAAATTTATCTATGTTTTTGACTCGCACAACAATAAGCCATTTTCGGGCTCCTCGCAAGTTTTATCTGTATAAAGTAATGTACTATTGGTCTATTGCCCCAATTAGGCCTGAATTATGCTTTATCATCCTGATTGATATAACTGTTCACTTGATGTGCAGTCTTAAAATAGATGAACATTTATGTTCAATTTTTTTTTTTTTTTTGAGGGGTTTTATGTTCAATTTGGTTTTGGATAGACTATATCCGTTTTTTTTTAAATTATTATTATTATTATTATTATTTTTGACAACGAGCAGAAAAGGAGGCTAGCTCCCAATAGACTTGAGATTACAAGATAAACAAGAAGAGAGTTTAGCTCTCTTTACTAAACTAACACAAGAACTATACCGGGGAGAGGGGATACAATATAAATACGGAAGATGACTATGCTTCCTTGACTTGGCAAAGAACAAGTAGGTAAATGGTAGAGGTGATCATTGGGCGGGCCAGGCCGAAGCCAAAATATAAGCCCACTTCTCAAGTTGGGTCGGGTCGGGTCGGGTCAGGCCAAGCTTTGGACGGAATTTTTGTACCCGCCCAAAATGCTCATGTCATGGGGGCTTTTCAGGCCATTTTCTGGTCGGGCCTAAAACTAAATATGTATAAAAACGCATTTCCAAACCCGCCCAAAAAAAATAAATTTTTGGGCAAATTCTACCCAAAACCCGCCCAAAATCGAGTCGGGCTAGGCTAGCGGGCCGGGCTAACTTTGATCACCTCTAGTAAATGGTGTAGGATAAGATTGCTCTTGTAACACCCCAATAATTCTCTCTTTAAACCTATGAATACCCCGAATAAAATTCAAGAGAATTACTGGCATGCTACCGCCACGTGTTCAAACGTTAAGGCTTTATCAGAAATTAGCAGCGAAAAACTAAATCAGTTATAAATAAATTTCAAAACCAATAACCAAAATCAAATTAAATCTTACAACTTGAAACCATTAAGGCCCTTATCCAAAACCCCACAAAAGTAGTAAATAAATAAAACCAGAGTTTAAATAAATTCAAAAGTAAGAAATAAAGTAAACTGTGAATGGTAATCAACACTCCACTCAAAATCCCACCACCTTGATGCAAGTCCAAACTATGTAAACACCTGTGATGAGTCTGCTCCCCAATATTACAAGTGTAAAGATTGGATCATTACAGGGTCATTGAAAGGCGAAGGCCATGACCAAAAAAAGACACACAAAGCACGCAATCAGCAAAGCTGAGTACATACAAGCTGCAAAACATAAAAGAAATCCCTAACATGCTACTAATAATCAATCATCACGTATCATTAGTTTATAGACTCGACACATGACTCAACTATTTATATTACTAAGACTCCATTAATTAATAATAGGTAATTCATTATTTTTAGCCATTGGATTACGCAATAGACAAGGTTGTCCAACCCATGATCCATTTGGAACATCAAAAAAAGAAAAACCCATGCTTCCTTTCGGAAACATCAATAAACATCCAACAACCACGGGTGCGACTCCGTGACCTTAGTTAGTATGAGATCTCACCTAACTCCTAGTTTTGAAAAATATTTGAAATAAGAGACTCGTAGATCAGACGGCCTCTAGAAAAGTAAACGGCTAATACCCCGTGTACCCCAACCCCTAAATGTCATTACTCCAGAAGTGCACCAATCCAGAGTTTTATTGCTCATCTATCTTGCACTTTACATGATTTACAGTTTTAGACTTGGTGATGACTCATATGCAAACAATACAATCAATCCAATATCAATTCAATCAAGTAAAACATCTTTTCAATTTCAATTCTTGATTTATTAGTGACAAGCAACATTTATTATTTATTCCTTTAACTACCTCGGTGTATAAACACCTTGAGTGCATAAGGCACCCCAAAACCTTAACCTCGTCTTTATAAGACTTGAATTCTTCCGTTACTCATCCTATTTCAATAATCATGAATGAGTAATAAATAAATCATTCCACAAATCACATACCTTTGCCTCTAAGCGCACCTTGCATAATTAGAGCACAAATAATTCTTGCAATATAAAATGGTGCACGTCATGCGAAATTCACAATGTATAACCAAACAATTTAACTCAGTCATCCCTATACATGATACTAAGTTCTCGATCCGTCCTTAAACATGCACCTAAAAGCAAGGTTTCGTAACTTGTACATACCTTGAATAAACGAATTGGTATGTCACTTTACTATCTAGAAATCACCTTCAGTAAACTCCTCTCCTAAACCAAACAATAACATCTCAATCAATACCCAATCAATCAAATTTACAGCAATACTAACTTACTTTTAAAACCTTCAAACTCCAAATCAAACAACACTTTAAAACCTTCCCTTTAGTTTTTTTAAAGGTTTATATATAGTTCTTTAAATTTCCTTCATGAAAACCTTAAAATACACCTTTTTAATGGAATTAGAGCAAGTTTAAAACTTTATAAAAATCTGAAAATTATTTTAAAACACTTAATTAATCTCTCTTTTAATGAGTCCTCAAACCCCTTTCATTAAAATCACAACACTACTTCTTTAAATAAAATTCCAGCAATATATATTTGATTAAAACTCCTTAAAACTTCCTTTAAAACATGTTTTTATACTTAATTAATCATTAGAAATGCAATAAGAACAAAAGCCCCAAATTAATTTGATCATAAGAACCCTAGAATCTCAATTTAAATAAATTAAAACCCTAGGTTTTATAATTCATAAAACCTGAAAAATTAACAACAATTATAAATCTGAAATTATAATCTTTATACTATCAAAATATAATTTTTCATATTAAATTAATCAATTTCAAACAATTAAAACAAAAACCTAAAACAATTAGATTAAATATTGAGCAAAAGAAACAAAGGAGGAAGAAAAAGGGGAGCACGGCTAGGCCATAGCTGGTCAGTGGTGGTGCGCCGACGGACTGGTGGTCGACGTCAACTCTGGCAGCCCGGGTGGCAACAGCTGCAACAATGGTGAGCAGCAAGGTGAATTCTCACGAGAAGTAAAAGGAAAGAAGGAAAAAAGAAAAGAAAAGAAAAATAAAGAAAAATAAAGAAATAAAATAAAATAAAGAGAAAAGAAAATAAGACTAACCTTTTTGTGTGGGAAAAATTTTGGGGATGTATGGGGTATTTATAGGAGAGAGAGTTGTAGAGTAAGTAGGAAGATTGGGCCTTATGAAATCAATGGGCCAAATAAGTGAATAACAATGGACTAAGCTTTGTTTGTTTTGACATAAATTGTAGAATAAAAGTGCATAAAATAATTTGTACCAAAATAATTTACGACCCAAATTAATAATTTCAAACTTTTGAAATTAAATTTCGGAAAAATGCAAATAAATCTTATAAATAAAATAAATTTTCATTTATAAAATATTTAAAAATATGGGGGATTACAATCTACCCCTCTTAAAAGAAGTTTCGTCCTCGAAACTTAACCCAAAAACCATAATTTCTCCAAAATTATTCAAACTTTTTTGTTTTATATTGTTGTAAATTGATTGATCCTCAACATGTATACTCAACAAACTAAACTTTATACTCTATAAACTCGTACTTGGCCAAAGTTTACATACTTTAATTGCATGTAAACAAAATACCATTAAGCAATAACGAGAAAAATCATGCAAAATTAAGCAATAAATAGCATGAATTAGGTAAAAAGCGCGAAATTATATCGCATTCTACCCCTCTTAAAGAAAAGTGTTACGCCCCCATAACTCACCTCCATTAATAAACAACTCACTAGACACTTCCTTACCATCTCTTATTTCTTCAATAATCTATCCTCAACTTGCGTTTCTCCAATTTCCCCAAATATGGACGGTTCAATTAATACGACACTTAATAATCTCTCTAGCTCTCCTTGATTGTCAACCTCCATAGTCCATCATAACCAAATGTTTCATCACTTCTCTAAGTATATCCACAATAACATCACAGGGTTTCTTAATAATAATCTTTCGTTGGGTGTAAGGTTTGGAGGTTAGTCAAATTAAAGAAAGAAATATCCTCCCTAAAAAGCCAGGCATTAAATAAATAATATCATTCAAGAAACGTAAATTAATAGTCACATAAATATAAGCTTCACATAATGATCACACAAACCTATTACATTGCACAATTCATCACAAATTAATCTATATTACATTCTTTAATCCATAAACATGATACTAGGTGATAACAACACTCAAATTTGCAAAATTAAATAACACATACATAATTTTAAACCCCTTGCATAATCACTTCATTCAAAAATAGACAACACAAGAAGCATTAAATACAATGCACATAGAAAGAAATCATCAATCCTATATGTCCATCCTAAGAATACCCAAAACTCACCAATAAAAATAAATAAATAATACTAAGGTTCAAAGAATTATGATTAATTTTACTTCAAAAATAATTAAGTAACACAATAATTTATATATATAAATACATAACTATTATTTAAATAAAATTCCAAATTAATTTTTTTTAAATAAAATAATTTTTTAAAAATAAAAGTTGAACTTTAAATCAAGTAATTAAATCCAAAATTGTAAGATTTAAAAACAATAGGCGCCTAAAAACTTTGAATTGACTTTAGTGGTAGTTAAATCGAACCTAAACTCTAATACCACTTTGTAACACCCCAATAATTCTCTCTTTAAACCTGTGAATACCCTTAACAAAATCCAAGAGAATTACTGGCGTGCTACCGCCACGTGTTCAAACGTTAAGGCTTTATCAGAAATTAGCAGCGGAAAAACTAAATCAGTTATAAATAAATTTCAAAACCAATAACTAAAACCAAATTAAATCTTACAACTTGGAACCATTAAGGCCCTTATCCAAAACCCCACAAAAGTAGTAAATAAATAAAACCAGAGTTTAAATAAATTCAAAAGTAAGAAATAAAGTAAACTGTGAATGGTAATCAACACTCCACTCAAAATCCCACCACCTTGATGCAAGTCCAAACTACGTAAACACCTGTGATGAGTCTGCTCCCCAATATTACAAGTGTAAAGATTGGATCATTACAGGGTCATTGAAAGGCGAAGGCCACGACCAAAGAAAGACACACAAAGCACGCAATCAGCAAAGCTGAGTACATACAAGCTGCAAAACATAAAAGAAATCCCTAACATGCTACTAATAATCAATCTCACGC